TCTCCCAGTGATTGGCCTAAAGGCACCCAGCCAGCTTTCATGGCTAAGACAGGACTAGAACTCACCATCACCTAGTGATTGGCCCAAAGATACCCAGCCGGCTTTTGTGACTAAGGCTCGACTAGAATTCACCATCACCTAGTGATTGGCCCAAAGCCACCCAGCCAGCTTTCGTGGCTAAGTCAGGACTAGAACTCACCATCACCTAGTGATTGGCCCAGAGGCACCCAGCCGGCTTTCGTGGCTAAGGCAGGACTAGAACTCACCATCACCTAGTGATTGGCCCAGAGGCACCCAGCCGGCTTTCGTGACTAAGGCAGAACTAGAATTCACCATCTCCTAGTGATTGACCAAAAGACACCCAGCCGGCTTTCTTGGCTCAGGCAGGACTAGAACTCACCATCACCTAGTGATTGGTCCAAAGCCACCCAGCCAGCTTTTGTGGCTAAGGCAGGACTAGAACTCACCATCACCTAGTGATTGGCCCAAAGGCACCCAGCCGGCTTTCCTGGCTAAGGCAAGACTAGAACTCACCATCTCCTGGTGATTGACCCAGAGGCAGCTTCCCTCCCTAAAGCGGGACTAGAATTCACTGTCTCCCGGTCTCTTCTTGCCTGGTGCTTTCAGTGCTGGACCAAACTGGGGAAAATGCGCTGAGGAAGGAGGTACGTTTGCTGCCTTGAGTTATTTTGCAAACGACAGCAAAGGGGGGGTGGGAAATAAAAATCAATTTTTTTTGCACCCCCCCTCCGTCAGTGACACCTCTTTCCCTCCCTCAAGGGCCACGGGGGCTGCGGACGCTACCAGCCCCGGATCCGCCGCTCAGGCCTGGAGCTGTACGCCGAGTGGAAGCACGTGAACGAGGATTCGCAGGAGAAGAAGATCCTGCTGAGCCCGGAGCGGGTCCACGAGATCTTCAAGCGCATCTCGGACGAGGAATGCTTCATCCTGGGCATGGACCCCAAGTACGCCCGGCCGGAGTGGATGATCTGCACCGTGCTGCCCGTCCCTCCGCTCTCCGTCCGACCGGCTGTCGTCATGCAGGGCTCGGCCAGGAATCAGGTGGCTGCGGGGGGCTTGGGGGTGGGGTGGGGGAGGCGTGCTTTGAACCCAGACCCAGCATCGAATTCGCAGCAGGCCTGGGTAGAATAGAATAGAATAATAAAAAATAATAGAATATAATAAGAGAATAATAAAAAATAATAGAATAGAATAGAGAATAATAAAATACAGAATAGAATAGAATAGAATAGAATAGAATAGAATAGAATAGAGAATAGAATAATAAAGAATGGAATGGAAAATATGGAATGGAATAGAATAATAAAATATAGAATAGAATAATAAAATATAGAATAGAATATAGAATAGGATAGAATAACAAAATACAAAATAGTATAGAATAGAGAATAATAAAATACAAAAAAGAATAGATTAAAATAATAGAGAATGGAATAGAATAGAATATTAAAATACAAAATAGAATAATAAAATATAGAATAGAATACAGAATAGGATAGAATAACAAAATACAGAATAGAATAGAATAATAAAATAGAATAGAATGGAATGGAATGGAATAATAAAATAAATAGAATAGAATAGAATAATAAAATACAGAGTAGAATAGAAAGAATAGAATAGAATAATATAGAATAGAATAATAAAATACAGAATAAAACAATAATAAAATATAGAAGAGAATGGAATAATAAAATATAGAGAGAATAAGGAATAGAATAGAATAGAATAATAAAATACAGAATAGAATAGAAAGAATAGAATAGAATAGAATAATACAGAATAGAATAGAATAATAAAATATAGAATAGAATAGAATAATAAAATACAGAATAGAATAGAAAATATGGAATGGAATAGAATAGATTAGAATAATAAAATACAAAAGAGAATAGAATAAAATAGAGAATGGAATAAAATAGAATATTAAAATACAAAATAGAATAGAATAATAAAATACAGAATAGAGTAGGAGAGGAGAGGAGAAAAGGACCTTCGAGGTCATCTAGTCCAACCCCCTGCCCAAACAGGAGACCTTATGCCATTTCAGACAAGAGGGCTGTCCAATCTCCTCTTAAAAACTTCCAGTGCTGGAGCACCCGCAACCTCTGGAGGCAATTGGTTCCAGATTGGTTTAGCATCCCTCCAAGCTTCCAGGGGACTCGTCGGACAGCTTGTTACTTTGCCTCCCCTAGGGCTGCCAGATGCTGACCCCCCCTTCCCTCCTTCCCCCTAGGATGACTTGACTCATAAGCTGGCCGACATTGTGAAAATCAACAACCAGTTGCGGCGGAACGAGCAGAACGGGGCGGCCGCTCACGTCATCGCGGAAGACGTCAAGCTCCTCCAGTTCCACGTGGCCACCATGGTGGACAATGAACTGCCCGGGCTGCCCAGGGTAAGTGGCCAAAGGGGGGGGACAGGAGTAGCCTTAAGGAGTTTTCCTCCCCATCCCCAGGGATCTGGTCACCATACTTGAGAGCAACGACTGGACAGATGGGTGGACGTCCGCTCCCAGGATTCCCCAGCCCTTGGGATTGCAGTCCTCGCACATCTGGAGCACATGAGATTGGGCGAATGCCAGGTTAAGCTAAGCCACCGAAAGACTTACGGAACCTCAGTTCCCAGAATTCCCCAGCCAGCAAGGGTTTCCCAGCATTCAGCATGGCTAGGACAAGAACAGAGGTGGCTAGATGACCTTTATTGCCATTTTGACTGGAGTAATTTTCTTAATAGACGTTGGGAATGCGGTCGACGTAATATATCTTGACTTCAGCAAAGTGCAAAAAAAGAGCTGGCTGGGGAATGCTGGGAGTTGAAGTCCCACCCCATCTTTAAGGTTGAGAAACACTGCTTTATTGGCAAAAGTTTGCATCTTGGACCTTCCTTCCCCTCCAGTGTCCAAGGGGGGAGACATAATCCCACCTTACCTGGACCAACAGTCTAGATCAGGGGTCTTCAAACTTGGCCCTTTGATGACTTGTGGACTACAACTCCCAGAATTCCTCAGCCAGCGTGAGGGAAATATGTCCCTTTGATGACTGGTGGACTTCAACTCCCAGAATTCCTCAGCCAGCGTGAGGGAAATATGTCCCTTTGATGACTGGTGGACTTCAACTCCCAGAATTCCTCAGCCAGCGTGAGGGAAATATGTCCCTTTGATGACTGGTGGACTTCAACTCCCAGAATTCCTCAGCCAGCGTGAGGGAACTAGGATCCTTTGATGACTGGTGGACTTCAACTCCCAGAATTCCTCAGCCAGCGTGAGGGAACTAGGACCCTTTGATGACTGGTGGACTTCAACTCCCAGAATTCCTCAGCCACAAGTAATAGGAGGGTCAGTTCCCTCACGCTAGCTGAGTAATTCTGGGAGTTGAAGTCCACAAGTCATCAAAGGGTCATAGTTCCCTCACGCTGGCTGCGGAATTCTGGGAGTTGAAGTCCGCGTGTCATCAAAGGGCCAAGTTGGAAGACCCCTGGCCTAGATGTTGTGATTTTAAGCTGCTAATTGAGTGTTGAATTTCAACATTGTGAGGGTGCATTATTTATTAAGAAAAAAAGTGGGGAGCTGCCCAACTCACTCAGTGGCGGCCCTGGGTGATTCCCCCCCCCACCTCTCCGGGGACAGCAACCCCACCAACCACTTAATGGCTTCCATGTCACCCTGGGGTCTCCAGGCCCCTTGCCCAAATCCTCTGTCTTCGGAGCCCTTTGGAAGAGCGTCAAAGTGGGGGCCGAGCTGACTTCCACGGGGACGGGGAGACCCCCCCCACACCTCCAGGAAGGGGCCATGAAGCGAGAGAGAGAGAGCGCGGGGGTCTAAAATTCCCACCTGCTGCCATGTTGTCCCCCTCCCCAAATTTGCCCCAGGGTCTTTTTTTTTTTTTTTAAACTTCTCGGCGTGCCAAGAGGGTCCTGATGTACCCGCTCTGCCGTTGCCCCTTCCCAACTTAACAGGCGATGCAAAAGTCCGGCCGGCCTCTGAAGTCCTTGAAGCAGCGTCTGAAGGGCAAGGAAGGCCGGGTCCGAGGGAACCTGATGGGCAAACGGGTGGACTTCTCCGCCCGGACGGTCATCACGCCGGACCCCAACCTCTCCAT